TACTCGGATCGCCACGACCAGTAAACAAACTTCGCACAATTTCTGCTAGCATGTACAAAGTAATCGCCATTAGACCTCGAAAATTCTTTGCAAACAACTTCTCCATCGATGCGTAGACAGCTGTGCTTCATTCTCGAAGCAAAATGGTTTAAATTCACAACTTGCGATAAGATGAGGAAGATACTCATCGAAGCAACTTGAATAGTAAATATCTAAGCGGAACTCTTGTGCTAAAATATCCTGATTCTTTAAGTTGCTTTTATTGTGTCCAATACGCGTTTTCATAAAGTACGACTTTTTACTGTGGTACGAAGCCCGAGTAAACGCTCTTAGAGCGTTTAGTGCAGTCGTATGATACGGCTGGGTATTATTTTTTAAACTTGACGAATGAAAATACCTCGCCCTATGATACAACTTTCCGCTGAATAGACTAATTCCACATTTGACGGATATTCTTCTTCTTTTGATTGGTTAAGAGACCTCTGTCACCATTAAATAAACTATCTTAAATAGTTCTTTGCTACTGCGCTCACTCCCATCCTGTGAGCCTAGCTGCACACGATAATATTCTGCTCGTGCGCAGTTCTATCCGCCACCTCTGCCAAGACGGCATGCGCTCCTCACTCGGTCTTCACTGCACTGAAAGGGTTGTGTAAACAAGGTCATGGGTAAGAGAATTATTGACCAAGATTACAGTTTCATTGCTCCTAACTGGGAAAGAGCATTTGAACCAGCGACAACAACAACAACAACAACAACAACAACAACAACAACTAGAACTAAAACTAAAACAGTAACATAATTCTAGTTAATTAGAGTTTTGCATGGTACGTTGCGAGTATAAAGCATACTTTTGTTGCATTGGACAAAATTGGGGAGATAATCGCGTCGAAAATTTTATTTGCTAGGAATGGAGGAAATTTGCTGTGTTTTCTGAGACTGAAAAGGGCGTGAAGGGCCTTTTCTTTCAAGTTATCAAGTGCCAATGAAAAGTTAGACGTTGAAGAAATGAGTGTTCCCAATTAAGTATAAGTTTGAACGACTTCAATGGGTCCATTGTCGATTACAAGTCCAGCATTTCTTTCTCCACTAAGAGTCTGCTGTTCGTAGGGTACCCGGCACGCCGCCTCCATCATAAAAGAATCATTCACTTTTAGCTACTTTTGTTGTCGTATCATGCAGATATCGTTCCAATCCGAACTGCCTTTTGCCAGTAAACGAAAAACAGACCGGTAACAAGTAATGAGAGGCTCCTCTATTTTGCTGGCTGTGATTGCCCTTAACTAACGCGAATTCTCCGTGTCTCAGTTTAAACCGAAATGGTAATCTTTGGCGAGTCCCTGCGATACACCTCCATGAGAGTAATAGATAAACAGCAAAATGAAAAATAGAATATATTGATCAGCTCTGTTAAGAATAAGGCAAGCGTGGTGTCGTAATGCCAAATCCTCAGATTTAGTATCGTTTTTTTGGCCGATTTTGATTACCTTACAAATGCACCTACCGGCATCTTGAGACACCAAAACAGCTGCCAGAGACACTGCACCAATTAACATGGATATGAGAAGGTCTAAGCGTACACCAAGCCATCGCCCACTGGCCATCACCATAATATAGGACTGATTATGAACATCTTGATATCTAACGGAATGAAACTGCAGTACGTAAGTAGCTAGTCATTACTAAACACTTGAGGCTCTAGAAAACATATACAAGCGAGTCGCAATTGATCTTAATGGCACAAGATATTCAAGCATATCAATATACGTGGAAATGCGCGCAAAATCAAAGGAAATGCGTTTTATGTTCAAAACTCTAGTGAAAAGCGCCCTTAAGACTGTTAAAGCCTGGTTCACACTAGCGACATAACGACATAACGTCATCGACATAACGACATAAGGAAAAGATCGGTTTTATCTTTATGTCGTTATGTTCAGGCTGTTATGTACAATATGTCATTATGTCTACATGTTCACATTACAAACATAACGTCCTTTTTACGTCGAGATAATGTCCTTTTCATGTCGTTCGTGACGATGTCGGTATGTCGTTACGTCGCTAGTGTGAGCCAGGCTTAAGACTAAACGAAATTACCTGTAAAACTGATCCACGAAATCCCTTTGTCTGCCTCTGGTTCGAATCGTGTCCAGTCCATTCAGGGTCTCGGAAAAGTG